TCGGTCACTTTAATTCTTTTGATCAGAGGGAGTTTAGTTGGTTTCGACGGCTTTCGATTGTCAAATTGAGAATAAGAGAGCTTTTATAAACTTTGAAATAAAGTGAATAGCGATGCATTTCAAAAGTTGAAAAAGACATTCAAAGATGATATTATATTAGAAACTTATCTTTATAAAAGAAACAAACGCACTCAGAATGGTGACGAAAACTTTGAAGATGATGTGAGGTTTAGGCTTTTTAAAGTATTTATTAAATAAAAGATGTGAAAAAATTAACGGATTGCATGCTGTCTTGTTATGGCTTTAAGTATAATTTAGACATTAATCAAATTACATAAAATAAAAGCTAAAATTAACGTTATTTATGAAATAATTTGTGATGAAACATAATGTAACATTAGAGACACAACCCTTTACTAATTTTTGTATTCCCAAATTTTTAACAACGTTTTTGAACATGAGATAATATTATATAAAGGATACGAAATCGTATAAGAATTTCACGACCATACCTAAAGACGTGCTCGAATAATGTTTTTTAAACGGAGAACTATGTTGACATAAATGCATAATATTAGTGAGAAACTCCTTTGGGTGGAACAAATATTAAATATTAAATTAATACAATTTGAAAAAAATAAGATGTCTCGTTACTTCTTCGACAGCTCCTACACACTATATAAATAAGAGGTATATTATATTTGTCAAGATAATTGTTACGAAATATATTTTTGGCAACACTTATGTATATTATATATATATTTCTAATCTGTAAGACTGCTCATTAGCGAAATATATGACTATATGAAGTGATTTTTAAGTTCTGGTATTAATCGATTAACATCTTGTTAGGAGTGCAGGCAGATTAAGTGTATAAAGAAAAAATATTGGTTGATTACAAGCTATATCATGTAGAGGTCATACGAGTATTATTATTTCAAATTATATATAATATATTAAATGAGCTGATTCTGATGTAGCGGGTATGCCGACTTGACAATGTATTATAGTACAGTCAACTATTTTGAACAAGTTTCTCTATTACGCTATGCGCTGTTAAAGATTATTTCCTGAGTCTTAGAGACTTATCTCTACGTGGATAGATATATGCAATTTTTAGTAACTCCGATCTGGAATTCTAAGTTATATTGTCATATTGTATTTTATATTGTCATATTGCCATATAGAAAAATTTTTTAAAATAGCTGTTTATATTCAAATCTGTTGTAAAATAGGCATATTGGCAGATAGCAATCATACTAGATTAATTATTTTGACAAACAATTTTTGTCTTTTTATGTATAGGTTTGAAGACTATATTATTGGCATAAACTCGCATTGTTTTTAAAAGTAAGTTGGAAAAGACTTGGGATCTGTATTAATACAGATAGATAAAAAGATTACACCATTTTTGAAGTTAGAAGTATGAACTATATCTGAAAGATTGGTTGAATTAAAGTATAGCAAGGATAATTTTAGGTAACGAATGGTTCGAGATGTATGTGATTCCGCATTCCACTCTTAATGAAACTTTATAAGTCCAATGGTGATGTGTGTAAAATTAATTAATTATGAGTATGTTTGGCGAGGCAACTAGTCATTAACAATTAGCAATAAATAAAATTTTGAAAATTTTAACTGTAGCAAATAATAGAATAAATATGCAAATAAACTTGAAAATTTCATGTCCTTACGAATGCCGTTGAACTGAACTATAATGCACAAGGCTTTATAAGTCTCCATAAGTGGTCGTATGATGATTTTAACTGGTGATGGTGAATATATCGAAAAAGTATTCTGATTTCTTATATCTAATTATATATTACTTTAACAGGTACGTCATTATAATATTTACTGATTTATGAAAAAAATATATATATACAGATTTATGTATGTATGCTATATGTTTTTTGTTACATTTCCATATAAATTGGTTAGTATTTTTAAGTTTTTTGTGTGAAAGTACATGTCATTGTTAACTTAAATTCATTGAATTTTCATAGCGCACCATGCATTTCGATGCAGTTGAACTAGTTTTCGTGGCAAGCGACGCAGAGCATGACTCCGAGTTTCGCAACTCAGTACGTGTATTAGGTCATATCTTAATATTAAATATAATACGTTCTGATTTCTATCTGATGTAAGTCTGAGATGTTTTTCATTTTGTCTTCTGCTAATATTACAAGATTTTTTTAAGCTGCAATGTACCAAAATCAAAATGGTAAAAACTTTTTTGAATTAGCATTCAATGTTATGTTTTTGGGAGAGTCGAAGTACGAACGATGTGCACTTAAATGTATTCGGATATTATTTTATTCATATGTCAATACACATATGCTTCTTTATACATACAGATATTAGTACTGCATATGTATTTAGCTTATAAATTCGTATGTATACGAGTGAGTATCTCTAAGAATACCCAATACCGTCAGCATTTGCGGTGTATCTACGTACATGCACTTATATACTTGAGTGTAACGACAATCTTTTTAGTTGCTCAGACTGTGTTTTCTGTGGTTTTCCCATTATTTCTCAGATTTTTCTTTTATTCTTTCCTATTTCATAAAATGTTTCGTAAATGGAAAAAGTTTTGCTTGATTTTATTAAAAATATATTTGGTTTATATGGAATCTGCCAAATATAGGAGAAAGCACATGTTGAATGTTATTGCCTTGTTTTATCCTTTGTTATCCAAATCATCCACTGATACTTAACTCAAACTACAACTACAACTACAACTATGACTATAAATTTTAAGTATTTAATCTTTTCGAATTTCAATGGTAGTCTTATCAAATATTCTAATATTCGATATTTTCAGCTCAAACAATTAAAATTTTTTGTTCTCAATTTTTATTTTGATTTTATTTTTCAATTAATTCTTTTACTTCAAGCCACTTAAGCCCAATTTTCTTTCATCAGTCGGAGTATTTTGCACTTAATGAGCAGGAGTTTGATTATTAGGATTTAATTTTTGAAATGGAAAACTTAATTAAAAAATGTGATAAATTGATATGAATTGAATAAATCGAGTCTAAAACATAATCCAATTTGCACCTATGCAAGTAGGATGAATGGAAATTTAAGCGACGTACGAAGCAACTAAGACTATTCAAAGCCCTATATTCTTTGCACTTACAACTTTCATTTTGGTTTGACTTATAAGAAAAAATAAGATGAAGTTTTCATAGATAGAAAAATAATATATATTGTGTTTTATAAAAATATAAACAAATACGGCGTATTATGTGAAAAAATGCCAAATGAATTTATTTTAAAATTATTTTTAAAGATATTCATGGAAAACACACGATTAAGAAAGGTGATAATTATTGTCATGAAGTATAAATTTTTCGGATTTCTTATTTTACTAAATATTCTGTTCAAAATTGAAAAGTCTATATAATACTGAAGTCCGCATAGTTTGTTTCAAACAAGTTGTCTTTTCTTTAGAAATAGTGCTCAGAATAGGTCTTTTTAGTTGCCATGCATAGCACCATAAATGGTTTCAAAACGTAGATCCTAAACCGGAGGACTAATCGAATAAAAAGAGAACTATTACAACTTCTTTAAAAATGAAGATGATGTTCTGTGTTGATATAAATTTTGAAGAACAAACTTTTTTTTAGTTTTTACTTTTCTCCGATTTTATTGTAATAGAATAAGTAAGATACTCAAACGCTTATCAACAACTGAATGAAATTTGATAATCGTCACCATTGGTATAGAATTTGAGGCATCTGTCATGGTAAAGAACGATTACAGTCAAGAGCTCTTACTAAGCAGAATAGAGCTAAAGCTTTTTCAAATAAGCAAAATTTCATAGTACGACAGATATTGGTTACCTGACAGATAGCGTTGTGTGAATGGTAATATCTTGGCCAGCGCCATTATATAAACTAACTAGTAGGATTTGGTGTGAAATAAAGTCGTTTACTTAAAATTTCTTAAATTTTGTTTGGACTTGGACGAGGAAGCTGAGTCGAGTGTTCGTGATCTTGTTTTTAATTACAAACTTATCAACAAAATTTATTCTGACTTTTATTCAGTAGATTGAATGTGTTCAATTGAGTAGTTCGTCTTTTACCTCTCTATTTAACTAGTGTATTTCTACTGAGACTTTGAATGGCTTGAATGTTTCCTTTTTTGTGCCGAAGGGTCTTTTGAAATCAATTTTTTTATCAGTTTTACATTCTGTATGTCAGTATATATTTTGTAGATTCAGCTGCATTGACACTACACAATGAGATGAAGTAATGAACTTAACTTTAGTTCCATTGAGTAGTTGTAGAAATCTACTTTCTTTATTTACTGGATACTTTTCAAACAGACTACATATTTATTGACTACAACAGATAAGTACAGTAATATACTTTATTATGCCTGAATAACTTATTACAGAACTACTCATTTTTTTCACATATTAAATTTAATAACTTTTGGAGTGCCTATGGAGATTGTATAGTAATTTCAGCGAATGCAACTCCATTTTAGTAATGAAGGGGGGAGAGGACAGTTGACAGGCTTAGTATTTAGTAAGCTAAATTTGTCAACGCCGGAAAGTATGGTCGTACTAAACAAATTTGTTTTTTTACGTCGAATTAAATATTTGATACACATATATAAATCTTGGTGACTATATTGATAAGAATCAAATGTTTTTATGATTTATTTAAATTGTATCTAGAGATATATATTGAAACATCAATTTATCAGAGTTTGGGTGAAAAAGAATATCTAAGTTTTGTATAATATTACTCGAGCAAACTGCTGATTTTTCATCCCAACGACTTTAGAAGTAGATTGCTATAGATACTTCTTTTCGATGAGTTGCATTACTATTATTATACATTAAATGTTCATTCATCAACAATGTAAAATAAGTTTATTAA